GTACTTTGGGAGGCTGAGGCAGGCAGATCACCTGAAGTTGGGAGTTCAAGACCAGCCTGGTCAACATGGCAAAACCCTGTCTCTACTGAAAATACAAAAAAACTAACTGGGCCTGGTGGCATGTGCCTGTAATCCCAGCTACTCGGAAGGCTGAGGCATGAGAATTGCTTGAACCTGGAAGGCAGAGGTTGCAGTGAGCCAAGACAGAACCACTGCACTCCACCCTGAGTGACAGAGGAGACTCCGTCTTAACAACGACAACAAAAAAAGGAGAGCCACCAAGTGGTGGTGAGTGGGCTGTACCCAGGAGGGTTCCGAGAGCTTGGGCAGAGATGGGTCCCAAGGACACATCCATCTATGGCTTGGCTTTCATGAGACTTGGCTGTACATGCCAGCTGAGATTTAACATTTGAAAACAAGACAGGTTCTGGCTTTTATTCTGGCTCTAGCCAGAACCCATCGACTAGACCCTTAAGAAAATTATAGGCCAGGCATGATGGCTCATGCCTGTAATCCCAGCACTTTGGGAGGCCGAGGCAGGCAGATCACCTGAGGTCAGGAGTTTGAGTCCAGCCTGGCCAACATGGTGAAACCCTGTTTCTTTTTTTTTTTTTTTTTTTTAATTTATTTCCTTCAGAGCTACTGGAAATCAACAGAAACCCTGTTTTTACTAAAAATACAAAAATTAGCTGGGGTTGGTGACAGGTACCTGTAATCCCGCTACTCGGGAGTCTGAGGCAGGAGAATCGCTTGAACCCCAGAAGGCAGAGGTTGCAGTGAGCCAAGATCACGTGACTGCACTCCAGCCTGGGTGACAGAGCGAGACCCCGTCTCAAAAAAAAATTACGTGTATATTTACATACATTTATATATATAATTATTTTTTTGAGACGGAGTCTCGCTCTGTCGCCCAGGCTGGAGTGCAATGGCGCAGTCTCTACTCACTGCAACCTCCGCTTCTGAGGCTTAAGCGATTCTCCTGCCTCAGCCTCCCAAGTAGCTGGGATTATAGGTGCCCTCCACCACACCTGGCTAATTTTTGTATTTTAAGTAGAGACGGGATTTCACCATGTTGACCAGGTTGGTCTCAAACTCCTCACCTCAAATTATCCACCTGCCTTGGCCTCCCAAAGTGCTAGGATTACAGGAATGAGCCACCACGCCCAGCCTGATGGTGATTCTTAATTGGGGCATGTGTTGGAATCACCTAGGGAGGTTATTATGAAATACAGGGGCATGAGCCTCTGGGAATTCCAGGTCTGTGGGTAGGGATGTTGGGAGGGTGTGGATGTGAGCATTTGGAAAGGCCTCTTGGGGTTATTCTCCAGCTCATTCTGATGAAGAACCACCAATCATTCATTCAGTGTTGGCAGAAAATCATACTGTTGAATGGCCCTTAGCACATATTTCTTTCTTTCTTTTTTTTTTTTTTTT